GGGCATGTGTATATGAGTGCAGGTTCCCACAGAGGCCATTAGTGTTGGATCCTGTGGAGCTGTAATTACAGGGGGTTGTGAGCTACCTAACATGGGTGCTGAAAACAGAACCCCAGGCCTTAGGAAGTAGCTCCTAATCACCAAACTATTTCTCCAGTCCTTCTTTCTCATTTATAATGTGTAATAATAAAACTGCTTCAGACGGTTGTAGTATTATCAAGTAGATGTGTTAACATGCTTTAATTAATTACACAGTTCTAAAGTCATAATATTCAACTAGAAGGTAATTAAAAAAATACCAAAATTTGGGAAAGATCTCTCATGCTCATGGATCGACAAGAGCTTAACATAACTCTCCTCTGAGAGGCTCTACCCAGCAGCTGGCTGAAACAGATGCAGACACCCACAGCCAAACACTGGACAGAGGTTCGAGACTCTTATGGAAGAGTTGGGGGGAAGGATTAAAGGCCCTGAAGGGGATGGGAACTCCATAGGGGGACCAACAGACTCAAGTTACCTGGACCCCTGGGGCTCTCAGAGACTGAGCCATCAACTAAAGAGCATGTACAGGCTAGACCAAGGCCCCCTGGCACAGATGTGCAGCTCAGTCTCCAAGTGGGTACCCCCAAAACTGGAGCAGGGTCTGTCTCTAAAGCTGTAGCCTGACTGTGGAATCTGTTCCCCAACAGGGCTGCCTTGTCTGGCCTCAGTGAGAGAGAATGAGTCTAACCCTGCAGAGACTTGATGCTCCAGGGTAGAGGGAAATCCTGGGTGGGGCCCATCCTCTCAGAGGAGAAGGGGAGGGGGAATGGTAGAAGGGACTCTGGGATGGGGGAATCAGGAGGGGGATGTAGTGTTTGGGATGTAAATTTAAAAAATCCTCAATTTAAATTTACACATTAAGAAAACAAACACAGAAACAACACATAAAACAAATAAACAAAGAAGGTGGGTAAGTTCCTAATTTGTCTAGTTGTGTAATTACGACAAAAGGCAAAAAGATGGCTTCTTACTCTTTTCTTGCCTTTATCTTTGCAGAACGTGCCGAATGTGTCTTGTGGATTTTTTCTGGGAGCTGACTATCTGAGTTTGGAGCACCAGAACTTGTTGTACTTGAGGACTTTTTCATTTTCCCTACAAAGAAGTAATCTGAACACACATAACATTAAGCTTTTAAGGTCATAATCCCCACATTCTTATATTTGGACTAGACTCAAATGTCCTATGATTGTTCTGTCAAGTTTTGAATCCATTTAAGACAAAAGCATTGTGCTTTTAGTGTTGCTTCCAGTTTGTACTTTTTCCATACTAAAATAGCACGTGGTATGTCAAAAAGAGTGGATATCTCCATAACCTCCTAATCGGCCTCCCTTCCTCCCATCTTTTTCCCTCTATTCACCATACAGCTGAAGTTAACTTTTCTTTTTGTGACACAGGGTCTCATGTAGCTGAGGCTGGTCTCAAAATCAATACGCAGCAGACAGTAGCTTTAAGATAATCCTCCTGCCCCAACATCCCATGTGCTGGGGTTACAGATGTTAACCACCACACCTGGCTCTAGAAGTTAGCTTTTTGGAGCTAGTCACTTTCCTCACAAACTCCTTACTGTCAGGGGATACTTGGCTGGGTGGAGAGTTTTTACACATTTTCTAAAGAGCTTTTTTAATTTTTTATTTTGGTCTAGTTTTTACTAAACACTAGTGAGACAGAGCAAATTACTTAACCCCTTAGTGGTTCCGTGCCCCTTTGGTGATGTGAACAGATACGTAAGAGATTACTCGATTCTACCTATAACTTTTTACTCTTTGAAGTATTACATTCCCATCTGAATGAAGCTCCCCAAATTCTTAGTCATATCTTCAAAATATCCTTTTCAAGGAGATTGCAGTAATACGTGTCTTCTTTGTGCATAAAATAAAAATCTAATCACAATTGTACTTTTGTAGTAATGAGCATAAGTGATATTTTTAGTTAGCTACTGTGACTGTAAATGGTAATGAAAAAATCTTTCTATTGGTGACACTCGTAAGTACTGCTAATACTGAGGTTTGTTGCCTACACCGTACTTGAAAGAAATGCTAAAGTTCAGTTAGAGTTTAGTGAAGGTGAAGTTGTAATTTCCTTCTTTTCCTAGTTCACATATCCCCGCTTACCCCCGCAACACTCCGCATTAAGCAAGCGCTTTGGCTGTACCCGCGTTAAGCAAGCGCTTTGGCTGTAACTTATCACTATGCTTCCCACTTTTAAGATGTTACCTTACTGATGCAGAGCCTTCCGAGTCTATTCAGTATTTCTCCTTAGGGTCTGGAGATGGGGATGGCTTGGAACGCACAATTCTGTTAAGAAGGAAAAAAAAAAGCCGCCCTTAACGTCTGGGAGTTGGTCCGGCAGTAGGCTGAGCCTTAGCTCTTTCTCCTCCCTGAAACTTGCTAACACCGCAAAGTCCTGCTTTAAAAAAACAAAAAACAAAAAAACTTTGACCACAAATCTCTAAACTAAAGCTCCGATACTACGACAAACCTAACATCGTCTTACCGGAGAGCTCCAGTGTGTCCCAGACTGCGTGCCGTTTCTCTCTGTCTCGCGCTCTCTCTCAGCGAATAAAAAAAACCCCTAATTTCCTCAAGGACAGGTGTGTCCCTAGCAGTCTCTGGGTAAAAGGACAGTGACCTTACACTGAAAAAATCTCCGCATCTTCAGGACGCCCGCCCACAGGGCTTCTTCCATTTTCTGTCGAATTAGGACAGAAACGAATTATGAAGTACGTCGTCTTTATCGGACCGTCTAGCGTTCCCTGAGGCTAGCGCTGAGATTTCAGAAGGCAGACTACCTGGAATTGAACCTAGCTTTAGATTTTTTGCAGTGCTGGACACTCGGCCATGAGAATTATGGCCGTAGACTTGGGTGGAAGAAATAAAATTGTTATTAAAGCAGTGTTAAGGCTTGTTTTTCTTGCAAATAGCCAAATATTGCCATTATACTTCTATAAGTATTAAATGGGACCAATATTTGATGATCAGATTTACACTTTAGTACTTTAAAAAGAAAAAAAACCGGCCAGTTTTTCACAATTAAGCAACGTGGTACATTTAGTTTAAACGTAAAACTTAAGGAACGTTCAGCACAAGGTAAATTCTTTAAGGGAAAAACCTTTTGTAGGGTAAATCGATGCCCCAAGGTCGGGTCGATCCGCTGCTTCTCCCTACGAAGACAGGTGAAGCCTACCCTCGTCCGTCGGGCGCCACCGCCCGGCTGCCTCAGCTCACAGGACTCTCATCCCTCGCAGCCGGGAGCCTGATGGTGGAGGCGAAAGCCGGTCCCGGCGCGGCAGGGAGCCAAAGAACCGCCTTCTTCTTACCACAGCGTGCAGCCGCCCACACAGACCTGCTGCCTTTTGCCGCCTAGCAACAGCCCGCAAGGAGGCAGGACCGACTAGGAGGCGGGGTTTGAATTCCTTAGGTTCCCGCGCGCGCGCCTGCTTCTCGGTTGCTGAGCAACGCAACGCGCCATCTAGCGGCGTTGGCTTGAGCTTTTGGCGGGTTAAGTTGGCGTTACAGCATCATCTCGTTCCCGCTCGTTGTCAAGGGAATCAGGATCTAACCGGGCCACCGTAGTCGCTTTTTTTATAGTGGGAGGGGCCAAGGGAGGGGTGACCCTGCCCGAGCCGCGGCTGCCAGCGACATGTTCAAGGTGAGAATGTGGAGCCGGGTCACAGCTGTCATTGTCCCCTCTCGGCCTCCCGGAGCCCTTCCCACGCTTCTGTGGCGCCTTTTTGGGGACCAGATTCGGTTCCTCCTGAGGCTTTGCCCACCTCTGGGCTAAGTCCTGGCTCGGCGGTTCATTCAGCGCTTGGTACTAGCACCTGTGAGGCTGTGGCGTGAAACCCTAGATGGGTGGGATCGGCCCTTTGAGCTCTCTCTCGAATGAAACACTTTGAAAAGTTAAAACGTCTCTATAGTACACACCTCCTCGGCTAATGCCCTTTTGGGGTCGTGGGTAGGATGAAGCCAGGTCGCTGCAGGGTTTGTGGCTTTGGTTGCTTGGCAGGATCAGGTTTCAGAACCTGGTCTGTGGGTGGGGGAGGGTCAGCTTCGGTGGATGTCGGGGATGCTGGCGTGTGTGTGTGTGTGTGTGTGTGTGTGTGTGTGTCTCTGTGTCTCTGTGTGTGCGCGCGCGTGCGCGCAGCTGGAGCTTTACGGCATAGTGAGCGTTAGTATGAAGTTGACTCTTCTCTCTTCTCTTACAGTTTTTTTGAACTGTCCTCCGTAAGATGGACATTTACAGTGAAGACTTTCAAAAACCTGTATTTTAGTATAAAATTATCCTCTCTTAAAAGTCAATTATATTTTGTCATAAAAAAAATCACAGGATGTGCACATCTTTAATCCCAGCACTCAGGAGGCAGAAGCAGGTGGATCTTTGTGAGTTCGAGGATAGCCTGGTTTACGTAGCGATTTCCAGGACAACCAGTGTTACATAAAGAGTCTCTGTCTTAAAAAATAATCGCAGGCAGCCAGAAATCTACAAAATTAAGTCTCCAAGAAATATGATATTCACAGAATAATGCTAACGAAATTCCAGAATTGCACTACTCATTTCAAAGTTTCTTGCAGCTGAGGTGTTTGTGGCACAATAGTAAGGGATGCAAAATGAGACCATGGTTTTTGCCTTCCAGTGCTGTGGTATTGCCAATTTCTAGCTATATGATAATGAGCACGCCACTTAACTCCATTTAACTGCCTGTTTTTTCTCCCCTGATTGCGAAATTAGGGTAATAAAATCTAATTGTTAAGTACTGAGGAGAATTATGTCACTAAACACAGAGGAAGGATGGACACTGAACTCATTGATTTGTTGGCTCAGCAATGTCATCAGAGACCTGGCTTTTCTGGGTTTACTATGGCATTGTTGGTTTTCCTTCTGGTTTCAAGATGACTGCCATAACAATACTTTCTTATTCACTAGGGGAAGAAGAGAGGATAAAACTCCCAAGCTTGGAGTATGGTTTTTCTTTTTTTCAGGTCTGATTGGACCAGTATGGATCAGGTGTCTGTCCCTAGCCTCATAGAAGTTGCCTGGGAATGCTGCTCTCTGGTTAGCTTAGGCTAAACAGGATCACTGCTTCAACATAGGGAAAAGGAATAGTTTCATGAACACAGTGGGGTTCTTTAGGAAGGAAGAAGTGTAATAGAAACTGGATCTGCAACCAACAATGTCCGTGTCAGGTATGTTCAGATAAGTTTGTGCAAGTGTGCATTGACTTTGGCTCTTTGAAGATCCTGATACATTTAATTTATTGATGGACATGAAAGATTAGCATAGATTTATGATTCAGATTAAAAGTGTGATTGTAAAACAGTGGTTCTCAGCTGACTGGTACCACCCTCTTTGGGTATGTTTTGGAAATTCCAGGAGTTGTCCTTTGTGTCTTTAGTTGTGTTGAAGATTTGTTTTATTTTTTATTTTATGTGTGTTTGTGTTTTGCCTGCATATATGTCTGTATATCACATACTTGCCGGCTACCCACAGAGGCCAGAAGACAGAATATGATCCCCTGGACCTGGAGTTACAAATGTTTGTCAGATACCATGTGGGTGCTGGGAATGCAACCTGGGTCAACTTTTGTCAGCACTGGGTCCCTATCTGGTGCAGACCTTTGCAGGCCCTGTGCATGATGCCATAGTCTCTGTGAGTTTGCACGTATGTTTATCATGCTGTGTTTAGAAGGCCTTGTTTCCCTGGGGTCTCCATTCCTTTTGACCCTTACAAACTTTCCTCCTTTTCTACAGGATTCTCTGAGCCTTGAGGGGGAGGGACTTGATGGAGACATACCATTTAGGACTGACCGTTCCAAGTTCTATCACTTTCTGCATATTGTCCAGTCGTGGGTCGCTGTATTTATTCCCATCTGCTGTAGGATGAAGCTTCTTTGATGATGGTTGAGCAAGACACTGATCTATGAGTATAGCAGAATTTTATTAGGAGTCATTTTATCGCTACATTCTTTGGCAGAACAGTAGTATTTGGATTCCTGATAGGTCCATGGGCCTATCAAGTCTCAGGTTTTTGGGTACCTGGGCAGTGTCAGGTATGGGTTCCATCTCATGGTATGGGCCTTAGTTCTAATTAAATATTGGTTGGTGACTCCCACAACTTTTGTGCCACTATTGCACCAGCCTGTCTTGCAGGCAGGTCACCATTATAGATCACAGAGTTTGTAGCTGGGTTGGTATTTATCTTTCTCCTCTGGTAGTGTACACAGTGTCTTCCAGTATTATGTTATATGTAAAAATAAATGTATATTATATATAACTCAAATAATGCATGTCAGTGAATGACAAATTTTATTTGAGGATAGTAAGAATGATACCAGGTATTAGCATCTGAGAGCCACAGCCCATCAAACTTTAATGTTCATGTGACTCTTATTAAAATCTAGATTGGGATAGGACCTCAGATTTTCCCTTTTTTTGTTTTTGAGCATCTCAGTGTCATTGATGCTGCTGGCCATCACACTTTGAATGGCTAAGAACTTAGTAAGATCCTTAGTGAATGTACCCTGTTTTTTTGAGGTCAATGGATTTACAAATGGGTCGGATTCAGAAGAGGTACATACCAGGAGCAAAAATGCTTTGCAAAAGTTCTGCTGAGAGTTGCACTATCACAAGTCTCTGCTTGTGGGGGGGGCAGAACAAATGATAGGGCTGGTCTGGCTTTGGGACTTGCCAGCTTGGGGAGACTAGGACGAGAAGGAATGTGAGTTGATAGTATAGGTGTTGGTAGGGAAGTACAATGTGTGTAGCTTATTGAGGGCATATTTAATGTTTAAGTTCTGACCATTGTTTTTTTTTAAATTGTATTATTTATTTAAGTGTGTTTATGTATGTGCCCAAGGAGGTCAAAGAAGTGTTGGCTCCTTGGAGCTGGGGTTTCAGATATTTGTGAGCTACCTGATGTGGGTGCTGAGAATTGGACTGGGGTCCTCTGTAAGAATAATATATACTCTTAACCACTGAACTATTTCTCCAGCTCTGTGACCACTGTTTTGAATTGGCTTTTCACATTCAGGGCAATAGGGAACATTAGTGGATTTTTAAAAAAAATCACATTTGAAAAGTGTGTCAGAATTTGGATTCTGTTATTGAAAGCAGTTTTTGTTTATGTTGTAGCAGGAAGTTTCAATATTGAATACATACATCCCTCATGTGTGATAGTAGATTTTATTCACTTCACAGATTTTATCACTGTCTGGCTATGGCCTGGGCATAGTTAATGTTCTGTGGAATACAAGGGCAATGACTAAGTTCTTATCTATAAGGAGTTCTAAAATCTAGCCAGCCACCATGGTTATTTAGGATATAGTTGGAGGGCCTTTCATACAGTTCACTTTTACTTTTAAAATTTATTTTATTTTTATTTATATGTATGCCATAGTGAATGTCATGTGTGTGCTGGTATCTTGGAGGCCAGAAGAGGCCCCTGGGTCCCTTAGAGCTGGATTTAGAGGTAGTTGTGAGCTGCTTGACATAGGTGCTGGGAACCAGCAACTGAGCTTGGGTTCTATAGAAGAGCAACAAGCACTGTTTATTGCTAAGTCATCTTTCTAGCCCCCAAGATTTATTTGTTAGGTGGAGTCCAGTGATCTCTAGGTTTTCAATACTTCTAGGTAATTGTAAAATATTGATTTAAATCTAAATGTGGCTATTGGTACAGATGTAACAAGTACATTGTAATAGAATGGGTCTCAACCTAGATTGCATGTTTGAGTCATCTGTGAAGCTTAGTGGATGTTTCTATGACTGGTGAGAGGGACTCTAGACCAATGACATCAGAGTCTCTAAAGAAAGAATCTAGGTCCAGTTTGTGGAACATTCACACAACTTTGAGAACAAACATAGAGCACCAGCAGTGGCTATCAGAGTCAATAAAGAACATATTTGCTCTGACCTTTGATGTTAACCAGACAAGGTTGAATGGGTTTTTTTAAATGATTAAGAAAATGCTTGGGGGTGCATACCTTTTATCCCAGCACTCAGGAGGCAGAAGCAGGCAGATCTCTGTGAGTTAGAGGCCAGCTTGGTTTGCATAGTGAGTTCCTGGACAGCCAGGACTGTGTAGAGAGATCTTGTATCACAAAAAGTCAGTGGAGAATTGTGTTCAATGTTAGGACCTTGAAAGCTCTGTTACCATAGAGGGAAACTAACATTCTCCTTATCTACAGTAATAACAAAAATAAATCTTAGAGAAGATAGATATATTTTAGAACTTTTGCTAAGTTTCCTCCTAGTTTATGTTAGTTTTATTATATTTTTCAATATGCCAAAAGCCTCTTAAGTGAATATTAAGCTGTATTTTTATGGTTGCATTATAGTGTACTTGTATGTTGAGTGAATTTTCTTTAAAACTCACTTGAACTAGTTACCTGTTTTCAGACTTGTTTTGAGAATTCTTCAAGCCATATAATATATTTTATACTTGACCTTAGCTAAAAGGCTCAGGAGCAATCCACTATGTTTTATTCAGAGCTCATACTAGTTCCCACTTAAGAATTTTTTATTGGCCTTGGTTTTGTGAAGATAAGGAACCCTCTGTGAGTGCTAGAGAGATTCAGAAGTTCTTGTTCATTGCTTTAATTGGGAAGCATACTCAGTGGATTGTAGTTCAGATATGCATATTCATATTGAACACTTTTAATGGAAATAGCAAAGGATCTCTTTCTCATATTCCACAAATGTCACTCCTTGTGAAATAGCAGCTTGTATTCTGTGCTGGGTGAAATGAATCTCTTCTCAAATTGGAGCGGCTGCTTTGTGTATTGTGTTATGACATAGATTAGATGGATAAGTAAGCAAAGAGTAATACAAGGGCTCTGGCAACTCTCAAACTACATTGGTGACCGATGTCACCTAGAAAATACTGTCTCTGAGCTTGTTTTTAGGGTCTGTTCAGAGCTCTGTTAAAATTGCTGTGTAAAGTCCCAATATTATTTCTCTTGTCTTTATTCCTTTTTAAACAAAGATTTTCACCATAAATCCAAATTGTCATCAACTAACTGAATCTTAGATATGATTTTTACTTGAAAATATTTGTAGTTTTCTTTAAAGCACAAAAAGCACAGAAATACCTGGGATGAAGCTGAAGGAAGTTCTCACTAGAGTTTGGAGTTCTGTATAGATACCATATTTGGGAGATGAAACCTAGGCTTAGAAAGGTTTTATATTGATAACGTAGTGCTTCCTATTAAATAGTGTATAGTTTTAGTTATGTAGGTTTATTTGGGAGCGAGGCTTGACATAAAAAAATGTTTCTCTACACCTTTCCCTTATATTACCTTACCTTAGAAATGACTGAGCATATTTTATGGCACTGTTGAGAGAAGGTAGAGGAGAGAGAGAGGGCAAGAAGCCTTTTTGGAGTTTTAGGCATTCAGCAATCAGTTTCTAACTGGATGAGAAAGTTCAGAATACATTTGGAACCCAGTAAATTACATGTCACGTGCGTTTCCAAGTCTGTGAAACCAGGACAGCCCAAGTGAGTGACTGGAAACCTGCCTGAAGGATCAACAATCACACCCTTCGGTCAGGAGAGTTCTTTCCTGTTTATACACAAGTTTGTTACTTTTCTATGTATATTTGACAAAATCAGACAGCTATTTTTACTGTTCAAAAATAAATCAATATTTTCTTGGCTTTATCGGCTTAATTTTTATAGTGATGTTTGCCACTGTCCCCTGAAAATAATTTTTTTTTTTGTGAGGAAAAGATACTAATAATTTTTTAAGCCTTAGTTTTTTGCTTATATTTTAAGATTATAGTAGATACAGAAGAACTAGGAAATATCAGCTACTTTGGTATAAACTACAGGATTAAAAACTCATAAATAGTTCTGTTTGCCATAGCAAGAGGTAGTTTTGCTTCTCTTTTCCCTTTTTTCTTGGTTTTCTTTGCTTGTTTGTTTAGGCAGTGGCTCAGATAGTTCAGGGTATCTTCAAAGTTGTTCTTCAAACTTGCTGCATAGTCATGACTGTTCTTGAACTCTTTTTTTTTTTTTTTTTTTTTTTGGTTTTTCGAGACAAGGTTTCTCTGTGTAGCCCTGACTGTCCTGGAACTCACTCTGTAGACCAGGCTGGAATCGAACTCAGAAATCCACCTGCCTCTGCCTCCCAAGTGCTGGGATTAAAGGCGTGCGCCACCACTGCCTGGCTGTTCTTGAACTCTTAAAACAA